GAGGGGCGGCGCGCCCGCGCACGAGTCGGCAGCCGGCTGGGACGCACGAGGGCTCGCTGGTCCTGCGGCGAGGGCTCAGGGTTACCTTGAATGTTGTCGGGGTCGCCTAAGGAAGCGCAGGCTCTCCGCGCTCTTTCCGCTAAAAGCATGATGATGGCTGAGACTGTGGAAAGGTTTTAAAAACGAGGTGGCCAGGATGGTATAGCATTGTCAGTTAAGTGACTTTGGGGTATTTCAAAAATTTTTGGCTTAGTGATTGGAAAATGTGTTTTTCAGCATGAACCAGGGAATGAATTTATGTAGGATTTCAGCGTCAGTATTGAAGGGATTAGATTTCAGGCGCGTGCAGCCTTGCAAATTAATGGTCACAGTTGTCCTGTTGGAGGGCTTAAGGATTCATTTTGAGCAAGTGCTCTGGGATCAGCTGATTGCTACATAGCATTGGTGGTAGACCAGGGGGAGGTTATATTATATTGATACGCAGAGATAAGAACTAACATTGAACAGGATGCCTCTTAGAACTTTTTCTCTCCTTTGTGGAGCACCTGTTAGTGTTAAATTCGCCTTTGCCTGGGTGATGAGCATTACTGGGTACAATAACATACCAGCTCTATTATTTAGGTATTAGTGCACATGTTATACACACATAATCATATACAGTCATGTGCCACATAGTGACATCTTGTTCCACACGGGCGGGACGGTGATTCCAGGAGACTATGATAGACCTAAAAGTACACCTTTACCTGGGCATGCAGCAGGCTGTACCGTCTGGGTTGTTGTAAGTTCAGGGTATGAGGTTTGCACAGAAGGAAGTGTCAGAGTGTATCCCCGCCCTTCTTTAAGCTACTGTGTGACCCATAATTTTATAAGCTATGTGATTTTGACCTCTAAAGTAGGAAAATTGGTAACAATAACAATAGGCAGTGTGGAGTACTCATTGTTAGGCCTGTGTCAAGCGGTCCATAAGCTTCAGGTCATTGAATCTTCAGGGATAACTGTTTTGCATAAGTGCAGATTGCTCAAAAATATGTGGATGTACGAGTTTGATCTGACTGCATCCAAAGGTGGGATATGTGCATTAAGTACTGTTGCTGTTTTTGTAAAATAAGGGTGTCGGCGGTGTATAGTGACTCACAGAGTAAATGAACGTTTTTCAAGTTGGAAGGTGGTTTTAAAAATTCATAGACCTGCAATTAGTCCCTTTATTTGGGTATTCAGTAGTTTCCGAAGCCCTGTATCTCTTAATTAGCCCACTCCATGGTGAATAACATTGTCACCCAACCGGCTATGCTAGGACATTGGAAAAGGTAAATGTCAGGAAAGCGTTAATGGCTTTCCTTCTGAAGCAGCCCCCTGCTCCAATATGTGATTTCTAAGTGACTTCCCTAATTAAGGGTAAACAAATGTCTTAATGAAAGATGAAAATAATTTCCCAATAGTTACCTAAAGAAAGTAAAAACAGTGGGCTGACTGTGACATTGTTAGGTCTAGCACAATTTCACTGGGCATATGAATGTTAAGAATGTTGGATTAACTACACTGTAGGGAGTCTGAAGATTTGTTGCCCAAGCTTTCAGTTTACTTTTAAATATCTTAAACAGATGTTCCCTTTTGAGTAGTACCTTGTGCATTAAGAAATTAAGTTGCTATTGGATTTAATTAAGTAACTTTGCCTTCCTTAAGTTATTTTTACTATGTTTCCAAAGGTAAACTTTAATGATTTCCATAGGCATAACAGTTGCAATTAACAGTGATTCTAGGGCCAGCAGATGGTGTGGGTGGCTAAGGCACTAGACTCCCACATGGCCAACTGTGGTTCGGGTCCCAGAACTGGCAGCTCGCTTTCTCACTTTTTCTCTGGTGTGAGTGTCCTTTAGCAAATTAAAAAATAATAGCAAATAAATAATTTCTTAAAAACCACGTCGATCCTTAGAATGATGGTGGCGTCTGATAGTTTCCATTTCGTGAGAATAGAAGAGATTGAAGGGGCCAGAGAGCATGAGGAAAGTGCTTGGAGGTGTGTCTTATTTGTGATTAAAGCACATTGGAACTTTCCTAGCAGAAGGTTCTATGGTCCATCCTTGGGAAGAGGAATAGATGGCGAATGCTTTGCCCGTCAGTTTTTAAGAGAGGGTTCCTCTACTAAAGGCATCCTCTTTTGGAGGGGACAAGCAGAGAGGCGTCATCACGGAAGGCCCTACGAAGAGAAAGATGGGATGTTCTATTTTGGAGTTAATACGTCCTCTCACCGGCACGGACTCCTGCCGCCACGTGCATCCGCAGGCACCTCCCAGCTCTGACGTGGGCAGTTGCATGGCAGGTGAAGTGAGGAAGGGGAGGTGGGCTGCTCCGACGTCTGAACAAAGCATCGCGAGACTTCCGTGTAGGCAGAACTTGGTATCTGGGCCTCCACGGGCCTCTGTTCCACAAACTAGTCTAGTAATACTGACTGCATGTCTTTGGGAGTGTCTTATATGTTATTTGTGCATTTAAAAAAAGAGGGGGGGTGATCCCCTTAATGTACTTGGTACACAATGGAGCAGATACAGCGTTCAGTAGTTTTGTGTGACCGCCGTCTCTGTACATCGGGCACTGCGAAGGCCAGAGTGGCAGCCACAGCAGCACTGGCTGTCCTTGTGCCATGTGCAAGCGATGCTGTGTTCCCGGGAGGGGACAACAGGCCCCTCGTTCCTCACTCAGAACTTGGCCCTCGCATGTGGGCGTTTTCCATCTCATTCCTGCCTTCCTCGGTTCCCCAGGGCCTGGGACCGAGCCTGGCTCGGGGAAGGGGCTCAATCTTATCCGTGGCACGAACAGTGATACGTTGGAATCTCCTCCCTCTTTCCCCCAGTGAAGACCTCGCTTGCCTTTAGATGTAGGGTCACCCCAGCCTTGTGTACCCCACAGAGTCCGCAGCCCACAGTGACCGCTCTGAATGGTGACAGTTCACCCACTCTCTTTCTCTTTAGCATTTACTCTTTTATGGTTTTATATTGTTACATACATATTATGTGTTTTGTTTCCCATTCAGAATATAGCGGCCAGGAAATATTTATACAGTGTTATATTCGGTAACTGCCTTGATCATCCAGGATGATATATACATGAGGTGGGTTTCTGTTTACCAATTGAGTAAATATTAGCTATTGGAAGGAAACGTCAAAGATATTCAGAATAGGAGATAATGTTTGGTTGGGCAAGTCTGTGCACACATATAAAACAATTTGGAGCTAAGTAAAGCAAAATAATAGTCATAGCTAACATGTACGTGTGTGTAAAACGGCCGTACCGTGTCCCAGGCCGTTTTACGTGTTACTTTGTCTGAATCGCACACCAGTCCTTGAAGTAGGTAACAGTTATCCCGTATTTCAGATGAGAGGATGAGGGCACTGCGAAGTGATGAGGTTTCTTGCCCAAGATCGTGACACAAATAATGCTGGTGTGGCATAAGTCAGTGTGATTTTTCTGGAGGTTTTACTTTATTCTTTGAAGGGAGATTGGAAAGTTTACACTACTTTGGCAGCTATTAAAGATGCTCTTTTTAAAATTTCAAAGTAGTGTAAAAGACTACAGTGGCTCTGTGCTTCAGAAGTAATGCTGGGTTTTCTAGACAGAAGAGGTGGATAATAAAATTACCACGGGACACAGTATGTCGGAACAACTAAGGACCAGGAACGGGATCAAATTTCGAATCGCAAAACCAGATGATTAGAAATCTTTGTGGTGGTTGAGTTCTGGGGCACTGATTCACTAGGACTTGGGACAGTGATTGTTTAAGTTACTCATCTACTGTCAACAAACTTATGCCAAATAAAACAAAAGTGAATGATCCTTGATACCTTGCTGCCTGCCTTTTTAAAGAAACACTTACCCAGGTCTAAAACCCTAGTGGTGGTCATTTACCATAACGTGCTGTCACTGCGATTTTCCTTTGCACCTCTGTCTACCTGCTTTGTCCGTGTATGGAATCTTGATCAACCTCTTAAGTTTGCATTGAGCACTAGAGAATGCTGTCAAGGTTAGGAGGCCTCTTCAAACCAAGTCATTATTTTTCTTGATAGAAAAAAATTGTGTAAAATCGTCCCATTGATTTGGTGACAGACCTGGAATACAGTTCACCTGAAGACGTGTGTAATTAGATGAGGTCCTACCAGCAACATCCAACGGGAGGAAGAAAAGTGGTACCTCTGAAAGCCCCATTCTGTTTCCCTTTTGTCGGGAGCCAACAGCATCGTCCTGGGCACCCGGCCTCCGCAGAGCGACTGCGCACGGCCCCACAGGTGGGGAGCACGCACACCCTGCACCTGCTGTCCAGGAAGCAGACAGGAGGAAGTGGCCTGGAGTGGAGCCCAGGCCATGTGCCTGGTTAGCTGCCAGGAAGGATGCGCCCTTGGCAGGTACAGTATTCCATGTCACAGGTCCTTCCCTCTGGGCACGATGGCATGTCATTGGTCTTGGGGGTAGCTTCGTAATTGGAGCCAGTGAAGAAATGACATCTACCATTCTCATTGTGACAAGTATTTGGAGATGGCCACATAGACATAATGCATAATTATGGATATTGTCCTATAGCTTGTGTTCTTTTTAAATATCCAAGAACTAATGTGGAAAACCTGAGTTAAAATGATCTATATTGGAGTGCTTTTATCCTGTAATCTTAGTGTTAGTTGTAATGACGATCTCGTCTCTGACTATCAGGGCAGGGAGAGTGAGAGGAAAACCTCTCAGCCTATCAGGCTAGAGTAATTTAACAAAGTCTCTCCTACTCCATTCTATGAATGTTAGCGTTGTAAGGCTGAGTTCTTTGACCAGGGGCATGCCTCAGAATGAGCCAGGGTCTACCCTAAAACTGCCAGATGTCTTCCTTGGCCCTGGGGTTGAGATTCACTGAGTCTGGGCAGAGCCTGCGTCTCTGCCACTTCCCAGTACGAGGAGCCAGCCAGCGTTTCACAGATGAGAAAACCAGGCCAAAGCCAAGCTACTTGCCTAGGGCTGGTTCCGTGGAGTCCAGATCTCATCACCAACGATAAATAACTTGAGAATTTTATGGCTAGAAGAAACTTTGTAGGTCATCAATTCAGTAGCTCATTTCACAACTGAAAACAAACCCTGCTTGATCTGGCCATGTCCAAGTAAACTGCTTGCAGAAAACAGTGCTTTCTCAAGGCCTGTCTTCTGTCCTGGCCACGGTAGAGGCTGTAACGTCTGTCACCAGGGTTCTTATACAGTTTTAGCTGGTGTGCTTTATTAATTTCAGAAACTACCCATTCTCTTGCAATGTTTCGTAATATTTTTATTGCATACACTGTGATATTTCCTCCTTTTGGAAAATACTGTATATTTAAAACTCAAATAAAGCATTAAGGTTTCTTATGTGAATTACATAATTTTCAGTCTTAGGTAAATTATAATACTGTGTGGGAATCTGCATTATTGGAGTTCTTTTCTAATGTGGCTGACTTTAACTTCTTTTAAGGCGTCTTGGAAACAGCCCAGTTGGCTTCCACGTCATCGTTGAGTATGAGAGAGAAACCTGGTTTCAGCATGCCCTCCACAGAGGCCCGAGACAGCAGGTGCATTCCTTCCAGAAGTCTCCTACAGCCTGTGGGGCAGCAGCCATTCCCAGAAGTGAATACTGACGCATCAGGTGCCAGTGAGTGGACTGCATGGCCGATGACTCATTCACATAATCATGAAGAATGGAAAAAACTGGAGAAAAAGCACATTTCAGGAAGCAGCTCCAATACCATTTAGAGTTTTTGAACGGCTGAAAGAAGATAGTCCTGACAATATGAGCTCCGGACCCCAGCACATGTCTTCCCATGTTTTTCCTGTCACATCTGCTAACCCGCCCACTTCTGTATATAGCATTGCAGTGACTTTGCTCAACTGCAGTAGCTGGGTCGGTGTGGGTAGAGAGGTGGTAGCTAGCAGCCCAGGAGGAGGGACAGGCTCTGTTCCCTGGGCTGTTGGCCCAGAAGCCGCAGTCCACTGAGTCACCGACGGGCGTGGTGTGTTGACGCATGGCTTCTTCATCATGATGTGCTGCTGCTTGTTGCTATTCATTGTGACTTCGGTTTCATCTTCCTTTATCTCCTCCCAGCCTCTGTTCATGCCTACATTGTTCTTGAACAGCTTTTTGGCACTGAATGATCGCCATACTTCTCAGTTTAAATGTAAGAATTATATCTTCATAAATAGAATTTTGGTACAATCGCTCTTTTATCCTAGGTTATTTTCTAGGGTCAAGAATAGAATAATTTGCAACTTTTTTTTAGCATTGTTCATTGCTGTCTTCATGTTCTTATTCAGTGTCATTGTTGCCCTCAGGTTCCAGGTGGAGATGAGTGGTCACCTCTGTGTTCGGTTTCCAGTTATCTGGGAAACGGGGTAATGTGGGTAGTAGAAATTCATAGAATATTTGCAAAGGCTGTTTTACACTTCCATCAGACTTCCTTTCAGCAGTTTTGATGTAAACATTAGCCTCAAGAACACAGAGGGCGTGTGCACTCGTGGGGCTGTGGGGAGAGAGAAAGTGAGTAAGCATCCCTTGTGCTGCATGATCACGCCACAGTCCCTTCTCCATTTCTTCTTCCTTCAGGGATTTTGGGCATGCACGCATACACACGCACACAAACACGCAGTGTGTTTCTCAGGCTACCAGGTCCAGGTCTCAAACCACAGAGTTGGCCATGTATGATCCAGCCCCTTAACCATCACACCATGATCTGCCCCAGTTGTTACCTTCTTAACCCGTATTGTTTACTGTTAGGAGAAGAGTAAGAAACAGGACTTTCTCTAGATGCTGGTAAGCACAAGGAGGGGGAAAGCTTGTAATTCACAGGTGAAACAGTGGGTCATGGAGACATTATTGCGTAGGTACATGTTTTTAGTAAGTTAGTTGTCCATTCAAGTTCAGAGAACTCTGCATGAGTAAATTTTGTTCTCAGTTCTTGTTACAACCAAGTCAGTTTCCTCATCAATGATTTTCTATTCTGTAAATCAAGGAAAGTTTTTGCTCGTATGAATCAAGTTGTATCCAACAAGGAGAAATACAAGCAAAAGGACCAGTTTAAAATTTAATTTGATTTTTTAAAAATCTCCTTCCCCAGTAGACCTGTCTTACTTCATTCCTTTTGTCCTGCTTCTCCTTCGTCTGCTGGCCACGAGGTCCCACTCTCTCGTTTTTTCCCACTTGTCCGAATTGCTGGCGTGATTTCTCTGTGTTGGCTGACTCCCCGCCTCTGCCTGGTGAACCTCCCAGATATTAGACTGCTGCCTGGCCTTTGTACCCTCTCTCGGCCTGGGTGCACCTCCTTCCTAGCCCGCCACCTCCGTTCTTTGCCGCCATCTCCACTAACTCAGGTCTGTAGCTCCTGCCTTCTTCCCTTCCCGTCTCCTCCACTCCCCTTCCACCCAGTCCCCGTCAGTGGTGCTCCTCTCTCTCCCTCCACCTCTGCCAGTCTGTCCGCGTGGCTCCCTGCTCTGTCCGGTACTGGTATAGACTAAAGAGATTTATACTCCAGTCCTGAGTTCTCCTCATCCCCACGTGCACATTGTTTTCTTCCCATGCTTTTTAGTTGTGCGTGTATTCCGTTGGCTTTCTTTCCGTTCTTCCCCCGGATGATTGGGATCACTAGATGGATTTGTTGTCAGTTTGCATAGAACACAGCTCCTGTCAGTGTGTTTCCTGGGTAGGCAGGATGAATCAATTATTATTAATTTTTCTTGGAACATTGTGTTTCCTGTGTTTTCTGCTTCTAGGAATTAGATTGGTATTCTAAAAGACTAATATTACTTTACAGAGAGCCAAGAGTGTCTATAATGATGTCATTTTGACTCTTCATTCGAGAGTTTATGGTATTTATCACTCACTTGTCTCAAAAGATTAAAGAACATCCAAAGCAAATTTTGGGGGAAAGAATGTAGGGACAGAGTGAGAAGAGAAAGATAAGGACTAGAAAAGGACTCAGTTAATTTCTAAAAATGGAAAGAAAGAAGTTAACATTTATTAGGTAATAGTTTCCTTAAAAGGAAAAAAAAATGATCAGTAATTCTGTTAACTAGTTTTAGTATTAGATTATTTGCATTTTTACATTTCCCTTTAAGTTCCAAGACCTTTAATGTTTAACAAGACAGAGACTTAATCTTGTAACTATTGATTTTATTTTTGGAGACTTGATGTCTCCTTGAATGCAACTCGAGTTACATAACATTCTCAAAATGCTATTAACAGTAACCCTATTTGGTTCTTGCGTGGGAAAGCACGTGGTTTATGTGGTCTTGCCCCTCTTACTCTGTAGTTGCATTGTGGCGGAGAGAAAGTTTTGGGCAAAACTATCTTTTTTTTTTTTTTAAGAGAGATTTTTGCTATAGGATGTGTGTACTCGCCAGAGAGACAGAGAGAGAGAGATGAGGAGATGGCCACACCACAGTCCCTTCTCCTCCATTCTCCTCTTGGGATTTTGGGCACGCACGCACATACACCCAGCGTGAGTTTTTAAGCTGCCAGGTCTGGAACCCGAGCTATGGTCAACTACATGGGAGTCCAGTGACGTAAGCATTATGCCATCCGCTGGTCCCTTCATGAACTTTTTGAAGTCCCTTTGTATGCACTATGAATATGATACTACCCTGTGATTTAATTTTTTAAAAATAGTGTATATAAACTACTGGAACACTGATATGAGTGCAGTTCTTAAAATATAATAACTTTACACATCACTTACTGTGGTGTTAAGGTATTACAAAAATCCCTGTAAACAGGATGGTCGCACTGAATACTCTTTCTGCCTGAGCCTTCTCTAATTGTGGTGGTGGTGGTGGTTGGCTGTCTTGGAGCTAAGGGCTAGCCAATGGTCCGATAATGGTGCAGTAATGCTCACCACCCATGAGCAGCTAGGCCTCTGAGCCACAGTTTGGCAGCTAACTAAGAATTCTTGTGGGTGTGCTGAGTGTGAGCTTGTGTTCTGGGACTCTAGCATTGGCAGGTGTGGTCCTCTCCCAAAGGCCCCTCCAGAAGTTCCAGCACACTGCCTTTAGTCATCGTGTCTCCTTAAGCTCTTGGCTGTGACAGTTCTCACACTTTTCTTCTTTTTTTAATGACCTTGACAGTTCTGAGGTGTACTAGTCAGATACTTCACAGAGCGTTCCTCAGTTAGGATTTCTCTGCAGTTTTCTCAGTGAGACTGGGGTAAGGAGTTTTGGGGTGGGAGACCACAGAGGTGGAATGCCATTGCAGCCCATGCTGTTGGCATGACTTGCCACTGTTGATGTCAGCCTCAATCACCTTGTTGGGGTGGTGCTGGTCGGGTTCTCCACTGCAGAGTTACTCTCTTGTCTCCTTTCTCTGCTGTGTTCTTAGTAAGGAACACAGTCCACATGTAGGGATGGGGAGTTACGCTCCACTTCCTCGAGAGCAGAGTTTCTACATAAAGTAGCTGGAGGTGATCTGTGCCGGAGATGTGTCTGTCTGTCCCATGTATCCAGCGGTTGGGGTCAGTACAGACTGATGGAAGTGGGACTGTAGCTTACCGTCCAGTACTGCTTCACGTACTGCTCAGTTGGCTGTGGCCATCGAGGCTTTCTGGGTCGGCTCCTGTGTCCATTTGCCATACCCCATCATCATGGAATCGGTATTGTTCAACGGCATCATGTCTCCTTGTCCGATACCACAGTATATTTAGATAATTTCTTATTGATGTTAATTTAGGTACCAAGATTTTTTTTCACTGTTATAAACAATACTTGATAAGCAATCTTTAGAAGACATTCGTAAAAATTTTGTCTGATAATGTGTTCAGGAAAATTGCTGTATTACAAACTCTGGGGAGGTCCAGCAGGTGGTATGGTCGTTAAGGCACTGGACTCCCACATGGTCTGAGTCCCACCTGGGGGCTTGAAACTCACACCAGGTGCATGTGTGCACACTCAAAACCTTGAGAGGAAAATGGAGAAGGGATTGTCGCGTTACCATCCCCCTTTGAGGGTGAATTCTCACTTTCTCTCTCTCTCTCACTCTGTGTCTCCTGTGAACACACGTGCCCTATAGCAAAAATCTCTCTTAAAAACTTTTATGTGAGGGAACCAGCGGTTAGCGTAATGGCTATGTTGCTGGACTCCCACGTAGTCGACCGTGGTTCGCGTCCCAAACCCAGTGGCTTGAAACTCACGCCAGGCGCGTGTGCGTGCGTGCCCAAGATCCCGAGAGGAGAATGGAGGAGAAGGGAGTGCGGCGGGACCATCCCCCCTGGGGGTTGATTTCTCGCTTTCTGTCTCTATGTCTCTCTCTCTCTGTCTGTCTGGCGAGTGCACGCGCCCTATAGCAAAAAACCTCTCCAAAAAAAAAAAAAATCAATATGTGATACATGGCTCTTAAAGATATCCCAGACCAGAGGGTAGTGTGGGTGTTGAAGCACTGGACTTCCACACGGGTGACCACAGTTCAAGCCCTAGACCTGGTGGCTTGTTTTCTCACTTCCTTTCTCTCTTGCTCTCTCTGTCGAGTGCACGTGACCAATAGCAAATTAAATCATCATAATAAAATTAAATAATTTTATTAAATAAAAATAGATATCATAAGCACATTTTTGAGGAGTGAGCTATTTCACCTTACCTGTGGAAAAGGGAGACGTGTTTATCACCAGCATCCTGGGTTCGGGGCTAATGGGGTAGGGCGCCAGTGTCCTTGAGGAGCTGTGAGGGCATAGGTCGTCAGTGTCCTTGAGGAGCTGTGAGGGCATAGGTCGTCAGTGTCCTTGAGGAGCTGTGAGGGCATAGGTCGTCACTGTCCTTGAGGTGGTGTGAGGTCGTCAGTGTCCTTGAGGAGCTGTGAGGGCATAGGTCGTCAGTGTCCTTGAGGAGCTGTGAGGGCATAGGTCGTCAGTGTCCTTGAGGAGCTGTGAGGGCATAGGTCGTCAGTGTCCTTGAGGAGCTGTGAGGGCATAGGTCGTCACTGTCCTTGAGGAGCTGTGAGGGCATAATCACCAGCTTTCCGTGAGGAGCTGTGAGGGCATAGGTCGTCATTGTCCTTGAGGAGCTGTGAGGGCATAGGTCGTCAGTGTCCTTGAGGAGCTGTGAGGGCATAGGTCGTCACTGTCCTTGAGGAGCTGTGAGGGCATAGGTCGTCACTGTCCTTGAGGAGCTGTGAGGGCATAGGTCGTCAGTGTCCTTGAGG